CTGTGTTCAATGAGCCTCTGCCAGCCCCAGGCAGAGAGATGAGTTTCTCCTTAAGGGTTCCTATGACTGAGGGTCTCGTGTGTGTCCAGAGACTGGATACAGACATTTTGGCAGCAGGCTCTTTTCCACACTAGTCAAATAAACCCCTTCTAGGCTCCACCGAGCTGGTGTTGGTTCAAGGACAGGGCCAGATCCTCCAGGCTGCCCCAATGTGATGGTGATGAGGGACTGGCCTTGAAAACCATCTAATTAGTTCTGTTCTAGGCAGGAGAGGCCTCCTTCACTGCTCAGTGTAGCAGACTGCTCACTCCTGTGACATCACTGTTCTTACCACCGGTGGCATTGGGGATTTGCAGATCCCTCGTGTCCAGGGCTGTCCCCAGTTTTATCCCAGCATCTGCTGCCCTCATGAAGGAATAGCTTGTTCAGCCAGCAAAGGCAAGCTTGAACCAGGACTTCCCAGGTGAAGTTGGTGGTCTGTTGGTATTCAGAACATTAAGATGATGACAATGACTAAAAATCTATCAGTTTATTAATCAGATCACCTGATCTCACCACAGTGTCTTTGAGATAAAGACAGTGCCTGAGCCTAAATCCAGGTTATTTTACACTAACTTAGCATGTCAAATCCCAGGGCAAGTGAAATCAGACTCAGGCCTTCAGTTTTGTAGCACCAGCATGAAAAACAATGCAGCTGCATTGACCACTCAGGGTTTACACAGGTGTAACTATGATTTTGCTGTCAAAACTGGCATCTCCTGTGGTGAATGCTGGACTCCAGACCAACAGAAATGTCACCTCCGTGTCTGAAGGAGGCATTTCAATCTCAATCATCTCTGAATCAATCAATGAAAAAAGCACATCTATGTTAATAATGAAGCACCATGGGCCAGCACACAAAGCTCCCAGTGCCTGGCACTGGGGCTGCTGGTGTGTTGCCAGCCCATGGCTCAGACCCCAGCTCTCTAATTGCATCAGCCAGTGCTATCAGCCCCCCAAAGTTGCTGTTCGTGTGTGATTCCAGGAAGGCAATTTATTACCCTGAAGAGCCCGACTCTTCTCTCCCATCCATCTCTACCCCTGTGTTACGTTGTTTCTGTTAGCATAATCATTTCTCATGGAGAATGTCAATAAATGCTGGAGACAAAAGCAACACCAACACCAACAACAACAAAAGGCCCAACTGCTAAATAATTCCTAGAATGAGTTGTCAGAAACCTTTTATTTACTGATTCCGCGCATTTCATTTATTCCTGGCAGCGGGCCAACCTTTCTGACAGTTAAGATTTATTGATTTAATTGCCTAGGGTAACCATGCAATAAAATCATCTCAAAGATAAATTTTCATGGCACTGTGCAGCACTGAAGTAATTTTTCAAGTGCTATGGCTATATTTCTGCAGGTTACAGGTGCAAAATTTGCTTAAAGCAGAAATGTCTCATTATTGTAACCCCAGCACATCAGTGTGGTCCCTCCTGTGAAACTCTTCTCTTCTTCTCTTTTCCCTCTCTCCTTTCCCTTTTTTTCTCTGTCACTAGTTCCTTCTGTATCTCCCCCTGCTCCTTTTTTTTTTTAAGAGGTACAACATAGGTCCCTAGAAAAGAAATTATATTTTCTTAATTGGTTCATATATTCAATGCCCAGGAGAAGAGAAGCTTCAGTTTAATTAGTAGTGGGCTTAGAGGTTATTTACAATGTTATACAGAAGCATTTGTTTCCAGCTGTGAGATGCTTTTTAACACCGAGGCCTCACAATGTAGCTGATTGCCGTTTGTGACATTATAGTTTATTGAATCTTTAGATCTTTTTATTTACACTGTTAAAGGGCTCATTATAGTTCAGAACAAGGAGCAAATGAAAATCCCTGATTAAATCCCAGGTTAATGGCAACATGTCTGAAGTCAGAGATAATCTAAACTTTCAATGGTGCGAAATATTTTCTTCTCTCTTATTATTTATTTGGGGAGGGGGATGCTGTTTAGTGTCAGTGTAAGATTTAATGGCCTATTCCTCTGCCAGCCTTGGCAGCTTCCCTTGCCAGACCTGGATGTTTAATTCACTCTCCTGCCCCATTGAGGACATTTGGCCAAAGGCAGCTCCAAGGTGGTGCCAGCAGAACTCAGGCTGTGGAAGGGGTGGCTGCCGTGGCCTCTGCGAGCCATGCCAGGGCTGAGCCCAGCAGCCAAAATGTCACAGGATAAACTAGGACACAAAGGAGAGGTTTTGCTCTGCCAGCCTGGCACAAATGCACAGTGAGGGCAGGAGACAGCTGTGCTGTGGAGACACTGAGCTCCCAGGCACCTCCTCAGGGTGACACTGTCCCTTGGGATACACTCTCCCACCACACCTGTGATGCTGTGGGTCAGTGGAGCTTCCCCAGCACCTCTGAAGGTTCCCAGAGCCCTTGGCAGGGCTGCTGCCAGGTTTGCCCTGCTGAGCTCATCTTGAATGACTCTTAATCCCGTATGCCAGTGGACTTTCCCCCACCCTGATCTCATTCTGCAGCTTTCTCCTTCTCTTCACTGCAAAGTACAGACCTGTCTCCTGTCCCTTGGCACCTTCCTGGGCACTCACTCACCACTGCTTCTCCAGCTCCCAACTGCAACTGCAGAGCTGTGCTGTGTACAGAAACTGCCCAGTAAGTCAGTCACAGGAAAACCCCATATATAGAAATAAATTATCTATTAAAGTTGAGTTCAATTTACAAGAAAGACAACTACATCTTTGGTCCGTTCATTTGGATTAGCTCCAAGACAAACATCATGTGAGATGTGTTCCTATCTCTGAGGGATAATTTGCTCCTTGTTACCAAAATCATACAGTCTGAGATGGGCAGAGTAAGGGTCTGTGTTATCATTGTTAACCCATAAATGGATCATATGAAGCTGTTTGCAAAATGACCTTATTTCAAATTATTAGTAATAAAATGTGAAATTGACTTCATGGCTCATATTTTCTGGTGGACTTGCAGATTTGCTCCACTGACAAGCTTGTGGATCTCACACAGCAAAGACTGACTTTAAAGCCTAGGACCTTTATGCTTGCAGTTTAACCTCTTCGACCTCTACTCCTCTGACTTCAGCCTTTCATTAGGTGAAATACGAAGGCGGGTTGGATACATTAAAAAGAGTATTAGTGAGAAGAGAGGCAGTTGAATCAATAATGTCAGTAAAGGTAGACCTATTTATAGAGAAACAATGTCAGCATATGATAAACCTGTGAGTAAATTGGCCCAAAGCCCAGACCTTTGTACTGGTTTGGAGAGCTTGAAGGGATCTGAGCAGCAACAAGAACAATCAGTAATCCCAGGGCTCAAATGTCAGCCACGCCAAATGGGAATCAGAGAACCCAAAAACAGTGTTCTGAGGTGGAAGAGGAAGGATGGAAGGACAAGGGAAAATTGGCATAGTTTCAAGTGTTGCCAAAGGAAAATGCCAAGTCCTTAAGGCTGGGCAGTGATAGGAAAAGCTGAGGTCCATAATTTCTCTCTTTAAAACAGGGAGCTGATCAGGCTGAGCAGACCTCCCACCCTCATACCACCCATAAGCCTCCAGGCACCTAAAATCAACAGACACCTCCAAATTCAAGACAAAACCTGTCCAAGGATTCAGAAAAAAATATCCCACATTTACTAACTGGATACACAAGTCCTTCCATTGATTACCAAGAGAAGAAACTTGGCAGATTCAGAGAATCTGGTTCACCCTGACCAAACTGATACTTGAGCTTGGTTTTTTTTTTTTATAAGGTAACAGACCACAAAGCAATTTGAGTACAGTCTGGACTCTATACTCAGGTCTATAAATAACTAATATTGACTAGATGTGACATCTTATTTCTTTTCACTGACTCTATAGAAAGTCAGGAGATGTGAGTTTTATTTAAGTTGTAGACACCAATCCTAAGGGTCTTTGGGTCCTACTGTGACAAGTCACATGCTGAATGTACTCTTGGTAATTAACATTAGTTGGGAAATTTTAAAAGAACACAATTCCTATTTCATGTAAACACTTGAGCAACTGCTGTTCTAGTTCCAAAGCATTTTTTTTTCCTCAGTTGTCAAAATTCTCCTTCTCTTCACTCTGGCTCTGAAAATTGCAGTTTTGGGATAACTTCTCTAGGTTCTTCCCAGGGCACTCAGAAAACTTCAGCCTGAGTTACAGCGTGTCCTTTGTTCTGTTTCCTTAGGTTCTGAGATGTCCTCAGTGAAGTAGGACACACCAGATGATGTGGGTGGTTACGTTTCTGCTTAACTAACTCTTTCTGCTATTTTTTTTCCTTTTGCAATTCACTGCTGCTCTGGGCAGGCTGACAGCCCAGGAATGTGAGAGTACATGAAACCTGATAGATTTATGTTTGTGGGGGGAGCTCAGAAATTGCAATCAAATTGAGAAGCCTTCTACTGAATGAAAACTCATTCAGAAATAAAACAAGTGAAAAAGAAAAAAAGCCCCTGCCCTTAGTGGTAGGTACATAGATCCAGATGTGTACCATACAAGTGTCTGTTCCCAACGAGCTAACCTGGGAGGAGATGGGCCCACAGCAGTGCACACAAATCACTTAAGCCCTGCCAAAAATCCACAGTATTGAGCCCTTCCAGGAATCTCAGTTGTCCTCATTTGAAGTAAGTGATCAAGTGAGACAACAGTATCAGGTGGCCAGGTTTAGTGTCTCATGAGTGGTGGTCTCTGGGAGCCACATCCTAAACCACACTGGGGCTGCTGGTTTTGCTGCAGTAGACTCAGTGTTCAGTCTGGAGCCATATTGGCCCAGCTCTGGTCACCCAGCGAGTGTGTGCTAGATGTCCCAAATGGAACGTAAATTAAAAGGGAAAGGGTTATCAATCATGTTAAGACCCCTACTGACACATACTGTGCTCACACACGTAGCATAAACATCTCTAAAAAGCACATTTTTAAAGAACCAGAATTACAAGCTGTTCCAAAACCTCTGCACTTTATTAACATTGAGAATGTGTCCTTTGATATAAACTCTTCTAGAAATGATTCAGATGAATTAGCACAGGAAAATCTTGCTGAGTTGGAGAGCGCTGAATCGGAAGCAGTGCAGTCAGTGAATAATGAAAGTAAACCATCATTCTGAAGTATGACTAATGGTGACATGGCCTGTCTAGAAGAACAAATAACCAAGACATACTACTTGGCCCCAAAACTGGGCTGAACATCTTTTGAAATTACTTCACTGCTGTATGAAGACTATTAACAAAACAGGAAACCCTGCCAACTTGTGGACTACAAGTCCAATGAGAGAGAATTCCACTTGTCCACAGGAGAGACAGATGATTCACTTCATGAAGGAGCGGGACTTATTACTCTTAGAGGCAATATTAATAGATCCATCCAAAATCGCTCATGGAACAGATCTATTGATGTTGCCAAGATCCTTAGCTGAAAAATGAGCAGAGAAACTTGAATCTGCAATGTAGAATGCTGCCATGAAATGATTACATTTTGTGGCACCTAAAATGCTTTTATCAAAGGATGACTTGACGAGACATCAAGATAGCTAAATGCTTAAGACTGCATGTCAGTCAAAAACTTACATGTATTATTCAAGGTGCAGACTGAGCTTCAGTGAGGCAAAGGGAAAATACCAAACTAAGGCTTACGGAGAGTGTGTTTGTGTAAAGATAGGAGATATCTTTTGCAATCTAAGTACATTCATTCTGCTTCTTGGGCTAGATGCATTGGGTGTGACTTAGCCAACTGCATGGGGAATTAATTTAAGCCACAGTGTCTAATTCAAGAGGTGCAGGAAATACTTTGTCTCAGCCTGATGTGGTTCCAGGACCCAGTTAGGGCTGCAGAAGTTTTCAGCTCTGTGCTGGTAGCCCAGCAGCTAATGGCTGCCAGTTGTAGTATGAAGTAAAAGAAATGGCTGCCATCAGGAAAACACCTTTTCTTTCCAACAATAAGGGCAAGAACAACTCAGCTGCAATTCACATTTACCACAATGACCCACCACCTGAGTGCTCTCACAACAAAGGAAGGTACTCCCCTACCCCCACATTTTGGAGCCCTAACACCATAACTTACCCATTCAGCATCTCAGTGCATATCCTGATCTTCACCTGCTTTGGGATGGCCAGGAAATAGAGAGCTCACATTTTCAATTATCCCCAAAGAAATGGTGTATTTTTTTTCTGTGATTAGCTCTGTACACAGACTCAGCTGCTGAGCACAGCAATGGTTGTCCAGAACACACGAGTCCTGCTCAGGAGAGGGATGTGCAGCTGAAACCATCACTGATCTTTTTTTACATCATCAGAGCTGTACAAAAGGCATGAGCCATATTCTCTCCTGTAAAACACCAGGACCAGACAATCAGACTTTAGCTATAAAGCAAAAGCATCCTTTCTACAACAAATGAAAAACTAGAAGAGACAATTTATCTCTAAACCTTTATGCATGTACACATATATATGCTTTTTAACTATGTCAGTGTCCTAAGGGTTGGCTAAGAAGCCAATGAAATATGCATTATACAGTCCAGAGCTGGCCTTTATAAAATTCTCAGTCATTCTATTGACATTGTTTCCTACAGACCTCTCAGAGCATCTGACACAAAATGATTTTTCCTATGGAATTGATCAAAATAGTGGCAAAAGTAACGTGACAAAGAATCAGGGAAATAATCAATGACAGCAGAGTCCAAGCTTGGGAATAACCCATCACCAGTCACACAAAGAGGAAGAACAAATACTTTAACTCCTTTCCTCTGTGTGGTATCACCTGAGAAAAGGACAGGGTCAAATTACTGCACTGTTAAAACCAGGAGTGAAACAAAGGTAAACACAGCTCATGTTTGAATTGCTGTCTCCTTGCAACTGTCTAATTGTGTCTACACCCAAAGGGTTTGCAAGGCAAGACTGGGAGCAGAATGACAGAGAACTGCCTTAAAAATCTTAAATATGCTTATTCAGGGGGAAAAAAGCAAATTTTTCTATAGGGCACAGGTATCAATTAAACCTTCCAGTGGGGACATCTCCCTTGTGCTCCCAACATTAGCACTGGCTATGTTACACAACTCTATTTACACCTTTAGTTAATATGAATGAGCAGTTACCATACCAATTATTACTTTTTACAGTGTACATAAAGTTCTTGATTCAGTTAAGAGACAGGGTCAGTGTTTAAGCTGAGCTCAGCATTTAGCAAGCTTTCTTTCCTAGATGTTTTGATTACTTAGGAAAGCTTTAACCTCTACAACGTAATGAAGGACTGGAAAGCTGTAGGGTAATTTGTAGGAGAAAGGGTGTGCATGAGAATATATGCACTATTATAAAGCTCAATAAATAATCATGTGAAATTGCTGGCATTTAGGACCCTCTAGAGGGGAGCTTTCCCAGCCGGCTGCTGATCCCTCATACCCTGAGTAATTCCAGATTAAATCCACTGACTTTGTAGAAGTGTATGTGACATCAGAAACCTACCATGTATTTCCAAAATGCATGTTAATTGGCTCCAGACAGTGGCAAGGGGGTTGTACATGGCTACAACCATAGGGCTTCCCAACCATCCCCAGGGTGGCTCAAAGGGAAAGTGGTGCAGAGCTCAAACGGTCAGAGCTGTGGGAACGATGCAAGATGTCTTCCACTTGCATTTTATTGAGAGAGCCCATAAAATTCAAAATCCAGCTGTGCAGGTTGGTTCAGTCTGCCTATTAAAAGGGCGGCGTTTTCTCATGCCTGTGATTGATATGGTTTAGGCACATCTGTGTACTCGCTTAACCCCCTTCCCTCCACCCTCTCCATCTCAAACCACTGCCTAGACATGAAAAGTGGGAATTTTGTCTTTTGCACATGAGCATAAAAAACGCTTCTTTACTTCCACTGAACAACAATAATTGCTGGTTTGCTTTGATTCCCTCTCAATGCTAATTTTTCCCCGTTTTTTCTCAGGGAAAACACGGAAGTCCACACCAGGGTAATCAGACCTTTTTCTTTCTTCACCTCTAAGGAGTAGGAAAGAGGCAGCTTGGTAAAGTGACCCGGACACATGTTACAACAGATAATCAATGGCTCTAGCAAAATGCACATGAAAGCATTTCAAGCCCATGTTTCAGTAAACATTCTCCAGAATCTGTGGCTATTTATCAAATATGAATGCACTCTTCAGGATGAGGATCTCATTTCCCCCGGTGTTTTTGTTCCAAAAATAATTGGAAGTGACAATACATAGAAAGATGATGTTTCAACTTCATGTTTAAAATAAATATAAGGCTGTCATCAGAGCTGAGCTGTCTTGTGAAGATCCCTCTCATAGGAGTCAACAGGCAGCTCTGCTGATAGAGAATCGTGTTCCATTATTGATTAGCTTTTAAGTTCTTGTTACATATTAGATTAGGATCGCTGTATGCATAGGGAATGAATAGCCCAATTACAGTCTAAAATAGCTCATCTCAAAGTGGTTTAGGATTTTGATATTATAGAAAGAATTTTAAGGAAATTACGGGGTTTATTAAAAAAGCCTTTAAGGGAGATATTTACATTTTTATTGCATGGCTTTTCAGGATGGGGAGGGCAAACTATTCCTCCTTATATTACATACCAGGCTGCTTTTAGCTCCCTCCCAATTAGCTTTTCAAATCTTTGGGAGTTAGGGGTTTGCTATATGGGGAGCAGGTTTCCTGCACAGAAAGTACCAGACTAAGCAACCCCAGAGTCACATTTCCTGATTCCCCCAGTTTAAATGAGAGCACCCTACACTGAAATCCATACCAGGCTCTGTTCTGAGTGCAGCTGCTGAGACTCCAGGGCTTATTTTGGAGCCAGTGATGATTCCCAGCAAAAGCTGGCATTCAGATGCTCTGCTGCTTCTTACCCTTTTGTGCAAGAGGGAAAATCTATCGATGGTGCTCAAAGAGTCACAGATCCCTGCCCTGGCCCTCAAGGGCACTGAGCATTGACCACAAGTAACTTGGAGTAGATTCAGGGCTGATCGAGCACATCCCAGTTCTCAGCAAAGGCACCAATCCCAGTGACTCCTGTGGACACAGGGCCAGCACCCTTATAATAAGATATTCCTGAGAGTGCTGCTTAACCTGCTTTAGTGTCATCAATTTTGTAAGACTGGAGCAATTCTAGGGATTTATCCTTAATTTTCAAAAACAAGTAATGTTTTTGCTAAAATCTAGCAATCTTGAGGACAAGACATTTTCAAGACTAGGTAAGCAAAGCCATAGCTGAGGGGGTACAGAAGCCCAAACTCAAACCTCAGCTCCCCGTATCTACTCATCACAGCACTGACAATATCATATTTCACAGGTTTTGTTCCCTATAACAACCCTGGATATTTTGGTATAGAAGGCAACCACCCTTTTTCTACAGAGAATTTCTATCCTTCGGTGAGGTGGAACAATTTTAAAAATAGATCTGACTTTCCCTCAAATTTGCCTAATTAATCATTCCCTTCACAGGTTAATTTGAGGCTAGCATTGACCACATCTCCAACAAAGCATGGAAAAGGTCACCAGAAATAGATTGCCAAGGCCTTGAAGGGACTCTGTGGACAAATGGTTGCCACTACCCAACACTATAAAAGTGTGATTAAAGGTAAAAGGAAGAACCAGGTGGGAGAGTTGCATGACCCCAGGATCGTTGCCAATGAAAAAAACACAGTGAAAAGATTTAGTAAGGCCTCCAGGCCCACTGACTCACTCCTTTTGGAAGGTAATATATGAAATCTTTAAGGAAAACTTCTGCTCACTGAGTCGTACAGCACCAATAGATCCATAACATTCATATTAGTCTGCCACATAAGAAGCTCAAGTTCCCTTATTTTTCCACAGCTGCAAGCAACACACGCACATGGAAGGCTTCCCTTCAGGAATGAAAGTCTGAGTCCTCATGTAGGTGTGCACACAGGGTCACACTGGCCACTCGGGTCAGACATCTCTCTTCTTTGCCCCTCCTGAACTGTATGCTAAGATATCCACATGAATTTACAGTGCCTTTCTAAATAAGGACCCATTCTGTGAGGTGCTCAGTACAGCAGTTAAATCCAGGGAAGTATTTTTTTAACTGAGGCTGCTTGCACATGTTTAAAATTAAACAGCCTCGGGGCAAATTGCCTTATGCCCTACAGATGGACACTTGCTGGCTGTGAAATCCAAAATACAGATGTCTGCTCCACTTTATGTATATCTGCAACTTAATAGGGAAATCTATATCTTCATACAGGAAAAGTAGAGGTGAACTTAGAAGGAAAACAAGTTGTCTTGAGCCCAGTTATTTTTTGAGCTTGGGGACACTCCTATCCCAAGTGCACAGGTACAGCTGCAGATCCCCATTAATGGATGGTGGACATACCTGGTGGACATCCAGAAGGAGTGAAAATAAGCTACATGGACCACATGAGAGATGAATAGCTGCATCAACCACTTGTTCTTCAATTTTTTAAGTTCAAAGTGACTCTTGGTCCAGGACACTGTGTAAGGAAATGTCTTCAGAAGTTCACTGGGTTTGCATCCTGCTCCTGGGAATTTTACCATTTGGTCCATGAAGACAGGCCCAGGGCCAGGGATGTGCTCCTGCCACACTGGTGTCCTGCACAGTGACCTGTGTAGGGACTGGGCAAAGCTCCCGTGCCTTGGTCTGCTCCAGAAGCTCCTCCATCACTCAGCAGCTCCGTCAGTCTCTCCAGATTCTTATGTCTAAATATCCACTTACTCAGCCTACAATGAGGATGATTTCTGTTAGACAACAAAAATTTTAGAAGCAAACAGACGAAGCTGACAAATGCACAGAGGATGTGCTTCAGTCTCATTAGAGCTCCATGTCTTTGACAGTCTATGTGGTCCATCATCTGCATTAAATAACTTGCACAATACTTACCTGTCCAAGCAGAGACTGTACTTCGTTCATAGTTGTACATTTTGTAGCCTTTAAGCAAGACCAGAGTGCTCTCTTAAAAAAAAAAAAGATAAATTATTTTTATCATTATTATTATCATTATCACTGCTATTGCTAACACTACCTTATGCTTAGAAATGGTCCTCTGCTTTCCTTTACTTCAGTAAAGCAAGAGCAATTATGTAGCTTCATCCATTTCTCTAAAGGGCTGTGTGAAAAAAATGTTGCTTTCAAGAAAAAAAAATGATAATTTTTTACAAATACATAAAATAAGGCATTTTTGAGAGGCATTTTCACATATTGCTGAAATTACACGCAATGTGTGAAAATTTGCATAACAAATGTGACAAGATGGTTACTTAAGGGACTGAAACAGAAGGAATAAAATATATATTAGATACCTCATCTCTCATTAATTATTATTCTGAATGAGAAATAATGCCAGGAGCAAGAGGGGTGCCAGAAGAAGCGATGGGGAAATATATTATCATGTATCTAAAAACCTTTAAAAGGTGTAATAATAATTAGGAAATTATTGCACTACTGATCTTTTTTAGTAGCAGAGCAACCACCTGTTCACACTTTTATTAATTGGTTGCTCTCCTCTTCCTTAAAGATGGTCTGTGAAGATTGTTAAAGGAAAAGCAACCTGAGAAGAAAGGAGGAGAAAGAATTCATGTTATGCAAGCAAAAAAAAAAGTCCCTATAAAATTCCTAACTTTAATTAAGAGTCACAGGTGGAAAGACAGTACTACTTTAAGATTGGTTTATAGCAAAACATAATTTGGCTTCAAACAATAGCAATGGGAGAGAGTGAGTGTTATTAATGCTGATTTTGTTAATTTGCTCCAAATGTCCTGCCTCTCCCAGCTTTTCTTCCCAGTGCTCCCTAAGGTGTCAGTGGTGCAGACACGGAGCTAAGGCAGCTCTGTGCCCAGTGCTGGGGCCAGGCGAGGTGGTGGCCACAGGAGCCCTGGGCTTATCCAGCCGTGGCCTGGGGTGACCCACAGCGGCACATGGTCTCAGGCAACACCCCCTGGGTGAAGCTCTTGCTAAGCTGGAAAACTGCAGACTTTCTATTTTGGGGAATAATGCCAGTTAATGTATGTTTGTTGTCAGACATCCATCTCCTGGACCACACTGCCACGTGCTGCTCAGGCCCCCACTGCTCCCCTCATTCCTGCTTGCCCACAGATGGAGATGAAAGCCCAGAGGTGTCCTGTGGCTGCATCGATCCCTTCCCTGCCACTGCTGTGGGAAGGGGCACAGCACAGCAGAGTCACCATGGGTGTTTGTGCCCACCGTGCTCCATAACTATGGCAGGCAATTTTGCAAGCACTTCTCATTATTCCCTCCTTTAGACATTGAAACATTTACACTTTATCTCTCCTAAAACACAGAAATCCTTTTTTTCTATCAATCTCTTTCCTTCAAATCTCCTGTGGAAGCAGCACAGAAATTCCTATTTGCTCCTTGTCTTAGGTTTCCCAAAAGCTTTTGTCTTGGCCTTCCCCAGAATCACCATCTCCCATAGACAGCGGCTTTGCTTAAAAGCAGAAGTGCGTGACCATTTTCCCTGTTACTCTCCCTTATGTTTCTTGTTTTCTATTCCCTCGCTTGAATCTCTTCTCTCTCAGCTCCAGTGTCTGGAGGTTGTATCCTCACTGTTTGCCCTCCTTGGAAAGTGGTCCTCTGCCTGTGTGCTCCATCCAGGAGCTGCTGAACTCAAAACCGAGTCCAGATGGCCACAGTATTGGCACCTCCACCACTGCCATCCCATTCGCTCAGTCCACCCTCACATGGGAGTGGATAAAGTAAGCTCGGTATGGTCAGAAATAGGTGAGAGCAAAACATCTGCTATGCCATGGCACTCCTAACTTCCCAAATACCTGTTACCTCATCATCCTGGAAATAACTCTATTCCCTGACATCCCTTTGGAGCCCAACAGCTGGGGCAGGCAAGCTGGAGGGGGAGAGAGGTGGAGAGGGAGGCAAAACACTTTACCAAGGGTCCTCTGCTGGTAAAAGACAGATGGTGCCAGTTCATTGTGCCACTCCCTGTTCCAGCTGTGAGAGGACCCCTGTGTTCTCTGTGGGCTCTGTGTGCCCTCACCTTGGCACCTACACCAGGACGAGCACCAGCAGTGACTCCTGTGCAGGGCAGGGACCCCACGGCTCTGTCTCAGGGGGCTGGAAATGCAGTTTCACTGCACCCGCCTCCCATGCTGAACGTGAGTGCAGCAGATAGCAAAAGCTAAATCCATTTAAAACAATTTTAAGAGGGAAAATAAGGCCCTTTCTGGGGATATTATTTCTAAGTCATGTTTTACTCTGCCATTAATATACTTTTGGAATGCATGAGAGCTCCCTGCACCCAAGGCAGGTAATAAAGGTCTATTAAAAGACACCATCTCTGTTTCCTAATGCTCTATCGAAGGTTCATTGATGAAAATAGCCATCTGGCTGCTCTCATCAGCTTTAAGGAATTCCATAAAAGAATGAAATATGATTTCCTCATAATTGCTTTTCTGTAAGATTTATGAGAATGTGAGTAACGAATAAACTGGGCACTTGCTGAACAAGACTCAGATTTAAGATGTGCTGATGCAAACGAGGAAGTGTCCAACTAGAAGATGCATTTCTTGGGAGAAATTTGAAAGTGTTTGCAAAAGCCACGAGTTACCACAAACACCTGGCTACGCTCACTGCTGGTATAAACACATACAGCTCCAGGGAGGCCAAAGGCACTGCAGTGGTGTGCTCTAGCAGTAAATTTAGGTCTTGGACACCAGTTATGTGAAAAGCTCACAGCTGAGAAAAGAGGACCTTGACAGCATCTGGAAGATGTCCTGGGTATAGCTATGCAGCTGATTAAGCAGCAGCATGTTCTTTTGCCACCTGCACCTGATGATGTTGTATGTGCAAAGCACATCACATGCTTGGGGGATAAAAAGCAGGCCCTTAATGCCTGGCAGCACTGTTCATGCTCCTGCCAACAGTAAAAGTGGGAATGGACTGTGTGATTAGTGCTGTGGGATAATTAAATCCCATTTGCCAGCTATTCATCTGTCAGAGTGCAACGGTCATCACTGTGCCTTTTTACTATTATGTCAATTATATGGTCCTATGACCTTTTGACTTCAGCATCATCTAAAGCATGGGATTGACACTTTATCTATTTCCAACTCTGATATTGGGTTTTGGTATTGCTTAAATTTTTTGTCATCTTTTCAATCTCCAGGACAGGAATAATCAGAGAGTCATCTAGGTTGGAAAAGACCTTTAATGATTCCTTGCCCAATTTCATTGCCCTTTAGGAGGCAATCACATACTACAGATGTAAGTGCCACTTAAATACTTGTAAACATGCCTGTCTCACTCTGTAGAAAAGGCAGTCATTACACTCTCATTCAATGCAAGTAAACTATTTAGTCCTGTGCAGTGAGGGTCTAAAATTGCTAATGGATGCCCATTTCTGAGGGTGCTCCACCTCTGTGAGTGTTTGACATGCCCACCTATGTGTCCCCAGCAAGCTCAGGGGTATCCCAGTCCCATACAGAAGTTGAGAGGAGGTGGTGAGCATTAGCTGGTCAGTGCTAGAAAATGTGAATAACGTGAGGGTAGATGCTTTTCTGAGTTTTTAATCTAAAAACTTTTGAATCTGCCAAAGTTTGAGCCTGTACAAATACACATCTCTCAAGCACCCTCTCCCAAGCACTTTCTCTCAACACTTTCTCTCTTTACAAACACATGCATTTTAAGACTTGCAGCATGCATATATTTGGGTACTATCTGTACCCAGAAAAGCTAGTAACCAGCATCAAAAAATTTGCTACATTTTTAAACTAAATTTTACTAAATATTTAAAATTCGTCACAGCTATAAGTGAGAGCAGAGTATGAAAGGGTAAGAGCGAGCCATTCTGGTAAGTCAGTGTTACAGCCACGCTTTTAACATTCCAGTTATTCATTCTGCTGTTTCTTTTTTTATTTTTTTTTTCAGCTAATTACATCAATAAGACTTTATGAAAACTGTTGCCAAATGTTTAAAATTAGAGCAGTTCAGTTGTTATTTCAGTCCCAGGTTACTGAGGCAAATTGCACATGCTCACCTCGTGCATTCATTTGTGAACATTGGGTATATCAGTGATTAATTAATATTAATGGCAGAAATCACTTCAAACTTGCTTTATGCTAGAAATCACACACAATCTTGACTCTCATCACTTGGCACATAAAGAAACTTTAATTGATAACCCAGGTTTAATATCCATCAGAAATGGATTCTGTAGGAGGAACAGAGCAATGTTCCCTGTAATCATCCTAGAGGAGATAGAAAGCTTGTTCTACCAACATCAAAGAAGATTAGGCAGCAGAAGCCTGATAGTAAAGTAGCAATTATGGAGGGCTTTTTTAATTCTGTGCACCTGCTTCATCAAAATAATAGGCATCTTTTAGCAAAATAACCTGAAACTCAGTTCACTGACTTTCAATTATCTGATGCTGAGAAATGCATCTGGAGAGACATGAAAAAAGGTGATAGACACACAGAGAAATAAAGAGAAGGGGGAAATTAGAATGAGGAAAAATATGAGGGCCTAAGTAAGTGGGTGTTATAAATATCCCGTGCCTCGGGCTGAATATAGAACAGGAATACTTTTGCTGAGTTATGACTGTGGCATCAGGCACATCTGACCAAATCAGTCCCTGGTAGAGCACCTGTGACTACAGCAAACAGTTTACCCTAGGGACAGATTTGGCTGATTGCTTTTAAGGGGAATTTTAGATATCAAAACTTAATGCAAGCTAAGGAAGTGCATGGTAACTTCCCACAAACACTTCAGGCTGTATAACTCAAAGCAAAAATGACTATCCTCAAATTGCCCCTTATCAGGTGGTCTTGCTATGCAAGGAATGACCACATAAGTTTCTTTCAAAAGGTGAATCTAAAGTTAGACTAGAGCCTATCTTCCCTGCAGGTGAGAAGGGGGAGAAAGCCTATACAGAGTCTTGGTTTTCTTAAGGAACTGCATCCCCATTTCTGGAAAAGCAAAAATCAGAACCAGATTTAAGAAGTCTGCCTGGGGTTGGTACCCTTCCTTGTTAAGCTCTAAGGGCACTGCTTGTTTTTCAATACATCCCAATTTTTCCTGAAAACACTTTTTTGGAGATCAGTGGGTAATTCACTTCAACATCCCATGATCTGTCACCCTGGTGCCTCCAAAGGCAGAGCATAGCAGAGTTCTAAACAGAGAAAAGCTGCATTACCAGCCCCATTACCAGGAAGAGTTCTTGCCAGGCTTGGGTCAAAAACAAAGACAGCACTTCTCCATCTTTTTTTTCCAGCTTTACATCCCTGTTAAATTTACTGTGCTCCCTTACACACATCTCAGTCTCTCCTCCATTACATACAATTACCCACACCTCGTTCTGACTCAGAAATGATCCCCACATGGATGCAGGTCAGGAGAGCTGCTCTCCATTTGATCTCCTGAACTCATGTTTCCCTGCACACATCCAGCAGATGCTGCTCCATATGCTGGAAGCTGAAGCACAGGAGATCATGATGCAACAACCATGACTGGCAGAGGCTGAGCCTTCAGAAAGTATCACAGCCACATCCCACTTCATGTGAATGAAATACAAGTAATTCCATTGTAATTAAATAGGAATTTTTGTGTGAATTCCAAATGAACCTTTGTAACATTTTCATTAGTCCTCAATACACCTCTTATTTTACCTCATTAGAATTACTGGTAATAAATGGTAGTAACTGAATTGTAATTAAATAGGAATTAAAATTTGACTTCCTAATGAACTACAGCAAAGCAATCACTATTTCAATATACATTAATTGCTGTTCTGTTAGGAATACAGGCAACTTATTTTTATTGAATTGCTACAAATTATAATGAATATATGGCCTGAGCCTACAAAATGGTCTCACATCAGTAAGTGTGCCTGGTAGATGTCAGACAGCTGTGCAGGAAGCAGATCTACCCAAGGAACTTGGGACTTGCAGCATGCTAATGCCAGTAGAGAATACACTGGATTATGACATTCCCAGAACAAACTTTCATTTCAGAACCTCGCTATTAATTTACAAACAGAACAGACAAGATGCCATTGGGGCTGCCATTGGGGAAGTGGACTAAAAGGTGTGAGAAACCAATAGCAATAATACCGGACTAGTGCATTTTTATGTTATTGGCTGCTGTTTGATTATAATAAAAGTGCTTTGTAATATATCCTGGGGTGGTAAACTGCATATAGAAAACCCCATTTTATTATTTATACATTCTGTCTCTGCATGTAGAAATATATATAATATATGAATGAATAAAATTTCACTTCTATGACTGTTCTAGATTTAAAAGCCACAGATTGCTGTTTCCTTGTATTACTGTTGTGGATGTAGCAGGCGTTTGGTGTAAGAAGTGTAAGCTACGAGAGGCATGTCTGTAAAAGGGAGTGCTGACTATTTAACAGGGGCTGGTATCCATACTCAGGGCAGACTTTCTGGTTTAGCGGGATGGGTGGGGGAGAGAACCCAAAGCTTTCTGTTGTCACTCTGAAAGCTGGCAGCATGCATCCCACTGAGCAGCCTTCCATCTCCAAAGTGATGGACTCTGGACTGAATTCTCCAGGCTTTAACAGAGTGTGAATTCCCCCATTAACTACCGAGGAGTTTTTTCCATCCAATTTCTGGCCCATCATGTCATGTCATGCTGTTGATTTCTAGGGGACAGCAGCAGCTGGTCATCACAGACATGGGACAGCCAGTTTCTTTGGCACAGCATGAGCCAAACACACTGATGTGATCACAGGGTCTGACTCAATGTGGTTTTACATGCCCTGAAACATCCTCATGACTCCATTTTTTCACCATTGCTATCATTTTCACTCTCCTCATCCTGCAAAGTGAGTATCTGACTGACATTTACAATCCCTCTGGATTTCCAGACCCAGCAGGTGAAATTCAGAATCAGGCTCTGGGATAGGAACTGCGAGAGCCAGTCATGTGTGGGCTTGGGAGAGGGCAGCTCACTGCTTAGGCATCCTTGTTATACTGAAATTTAAATCACAGAGATTGAACGGGGAAAGCAAACTCACTTTTTCAATTTTGTTACCTAATCAAAACTCTGAAGCTTTCTAGTGCTGGAGAGTGTTCACATATCATCCACTTTCCATATCCAATGCTGACAAAACAATAAGGCAGGAATAACATAAGTCGTGAGAAAACTAGTCTGTCTCATAAATCTTCACAGGAAAGTGGCTGCTGTTTTATGTTATTGCAGTGTGTTGTTTCCAATGAAGTGATTACTGTTAGATGTATTTTTAAATTGCTTTTGGTATTTTTAAAAATACATGACTTGGAGAGTGATAGAAATGAGATTGAGTGGTGGTAGGCAGTCCCTACAATATTATTAACTTTTTCCCAGACCAGCTACTTTGGAAATTAAGGTTACCAACACAGCTGTTGTCAACTTTCCCCTGGCTGAAAAGGACTCATTGGAGTCTGTTTGATGTATGCAATTATCCTACAGCCCACCTAAATCCTCCTCCTGCTTCAGACACTACGCGGGCTTGCGTTCTGCTTCGAGTTGTTTGATTAATATTTGCTAGTGTTATTTTAAAGTGTGAATGAGCATGTTTATGCACTAAATCCCTGTAGCACAGAGTCTCAAGTTACATCCTGTTGTGACTGACAAGTTGTGGTTTCTGTCCACGGAGGGGAGGAACCACTTTGTGTGTTAACAGCTTCAACCAAGGCACACACGCTTCCAAAAAGGCTGAGCTACGTTTTAGATAAAGTTCATTTGGAAGACATTCAAGGCAATAAATATCAAGTGAGAGGTTTTCTCAGGGCTTTACAAGTCATTAAAACTCCAGGTAGATTTTACCTACCAGAGGCTTCACTTGTGGCTTGCTGAGTTCACACGGTCCTTTTCCTGCATATCATCGTATTCCTTCCAGTGGCTAATGAAGCCTGTAACCATCCCAGGGCCCACCTACAGGGTCCCTGCGTGCTCCACAGACCAGGCACTACAGGGTTAAGCTTGCTCAGACAAGAGGAGACTCAATAAGAGGCAAAAGGAAAATGAATTAGAGGAAAATCAACAGGCAGCAAAGGAAAAACTAAATTACATTTCATGTACACACATGCACTCTTTTGGCTGGAGGGGCAGAAAACATAGCCAAAACCTGGCTGTTTTTATTCTAAACAGTGCATCAATCCATTGATTAATTTTACACTTTGTTCCTTATGAACCTGGGCTGGGGCCATGAATGCTGCTATGAAAAGAAGAATATAGCCAAAAAGGAACTCTTAAAAAGTTGGCAGCTGTTTCAAGGCAATGTGTCTGGCCAGCAGGAAGGAGATGGCTCCTCCAGGGAAGTGTATAGAGCTGTAAAACCATTTGTGAACTGGCCCAGTTCAGTTTATAAGGTGTGTGACTGACTTAAAGTCAAGTTTCTTGCACAAATTTGTGACTTGTAAATCGAATTATAAAAGCAGTCTTAAGTATCATTTTTCCAAAAGGGCATTACAAGATTGGTTAAGAATGACTGTATTTCCTCACTAATACCATTAACTACAGAATTGTTTCCATCCATTACTGAGTAGAACAAGGACAGTTTACCGTAAATTGCTCCATGCTATGTGGTTCAACTGGTCAGCTTCATGGTATAAGAAGCATAAATAAAACAAAACCAAATCAAGGAATACAATAAAACACCATGGACCAACTTCAGTCTTGGTATAATCAAATTCAAATGGAAATTAATGGAGTTGCACCCACTCACACCAAGGCTGACACATCCCTTGGCCACAGAGCAGGGGGAGGCAAATGTCACCTCTCTGTGTTGCTTCCCAGGAACAGCTACGGTGAGCAGGTGCAGGCTATGAGCTCATTCCAGTTACCTGCTATCTGCTGCCTAGGTGTTTTCTGGAAAGCTTAATTTAGCCAGGATTCTGCTTTTGTAAGTGTGTATTCCTTTCAGCAAGTTAGGAGGTTAAGGAATGATTTGGGAAACACCCTTAAAATCTCTCCAGGGTGAGTGAAGAGTGACTTTCAGTGGGTGGAGATCTGCGTAAGATCTCAAGAAAATCGGATGGAAGGAGGGGGGAATTCTGTCCATGATATATCTTACTTGTCATCCAGACCGTGTTGCTTAGTGCAGGAGAGGGACATGAGTTTCCATTTACAGGAGGTTCAGAAATCCCAGGCCACTGCTTATCCTGTTTGTATGAAGCAAGGGATAGCACGAATCCCACTTACTGACAGAGAAACTCACCTTCTGTAGAAAACTTACACAAAACCAGGACACCACTGCCTTAAAACAGGGATCAGCAGAGGCCCAGGACACAGGGGTTTCACACAGGCAATCTGACCATTCCCTGGATGAACATACAGCACTCCATGGCCACGTACCTTCTGGCATCTGCCTGGGAGTTTGGCTCAATGGTGAATGCGACTCGTGATCAAATTTGGCAACTGCAATGAGAAAACATGGTATTTAGGTGACTTTCTAAACCATTGCTCATCTAAGCCACAAAGCTGCTGCTGCTTTGGTTGTTCAACTATTCAATTTTCACACCTTCTTAGTGCCTACAAACTCAACATAAACACTTCTGAGCAAACAGGAGATCCAAAATCTCTGCACAGAACCAATTCTTTCCCTTCTCACTGTATTTCAGTGTTGCTAATTGCTAATTAATCACAGACTTTACCCATCCCCCCTCTTGCCCAAGTTTTATGGTTGAAGTTTTGTTTGAACTGTGCTTCTCCCAGCTGAGCAGTGCTTGAGGGTCAACAGAGCTGTGCCATGTACTGTGAAAAGTGATGCTTCTTTTAAGGGGCCTCATTATTGAAATAACTTTTGAGTTAATGTTTGGAAATAACTTTGAAATGAGGACTTGCACAGATTTGTTTTCTTAGTGCAGCAATTAGCTCCTTGAGCAGTGACTGGCTGCAGTACCTTCTGCCATGTCTGACACATTAAATAAATTTTGCACTCAGTTCATTAGTTGGAAATACACTTTGTAATACCTGCCGAGTTACAGGACACGCAGCAAAGCCACAGTTCACTTCAACTAGAAAAATGAAGTCAGGTTTTGCTGCTCCTGCATAAACAAAAAAAGGATGGGGGAAAAAAAAGGTAAATAAGATACTGTTTTTTCTACCAGTTGGCTCAGTCCGTTTGCTTCAGAACACTGCCCCTCTGCCTTGCTCCCTTTTTAATTATCAGGTTGTGATTCTCTCTTTCCCACCAAGTTGGACAACCTCAGCAAAATCTCCCATTGCTTCTGGTGGAAAAACACAGCATTGGTTATTTTTAATGAAAGTACTATGTCACAGCCTCAAGAAACAACTGTAGTATTTTTCCTGCCAGTCCAGCTCACTGTTGCGAGGAAAGCTGTTGCAAGTGGTCTGTTTGTCAGGCTTTCCCTGGGCAGGCAGCAGCCACCTTTGTGGAAAGGTGGAAGCTGGGGCAAGGTTGTCTTTCATGCTTGCTGGATTCCAGTCAGTGCATGGGGACAGACTGACAGCACTGACTGTGCCCATGGGAGATGGGATGAGCTGTGGAGGCAGCATCTGTTGATCCAACAGCATTTCACCCACCCACCTGTATGGAAACAGGACCATGGCTGGGTCTGCAGTTGTGCAGTGTGGATGGAGGGAGGCACAGCTGCTGCTGCTCTGGATGCAGAAGGTGGAGTTGTTACTGTCCAGCAGCTGGTGCAGTCAGGGCCCTAGCCTGGAGCAGTACAACATCCAGGATCTTACCATGCAGGGCATGACATTTAAAGAGAGAAGGGGACTTTTAAATACCAGTTAGCAGTTGAACTTAACTAGAGATGGCAGGGCAGGAGGATGAGGAGACCTTTGGAGCCTTATCCTTCTCTTCCAGCCTCATCATTCAAAGCAGCCCTAAAAACAAAGCCCAGATCCAGCCAACTTCAAGTACATCCTTGAGCTCAAGATTTCTTTATCCAAAGGATAGTCCTCCTTTCTTCAAAGATGCTGGAGCCAGTCACTAATGGTAACTAGTCGGGAAGCACTGTTGGATTCAGCTCAGAACGACAGGATGCATTTTGCAGAGGAAAACACCTGTAATTAAAATCCTAAATACATATTCAAGCATCAAAATTGGTGACATGATTTTGCAGAAGTGAGAAGCAGCGATGTCAGCAGAGGCACCAAGGTGAACCCTGTTACAGACCTGCCACCCTGAAACAGGCCTTGGGTGGCTTACTCCCTTTTTTTTGTTCAGTCAGATTCCCCCAAGTAGAATTAAAACGTTTAGCCACTGCAGGCCAGCTGCACTCTTCCCAGTCAACATACCATGGATGACACAGGTCTGCTATGCAAAAAACGTAGTGTGTAAGAAGAGGATAAAGGAGAGAAGAAATCTAATAAATACTCCATTATCTCCAGTGTATATTATGCAAAATTTGGCATGAAATCTTTATCTCACATAAACATGAAGGTCACTTATTTGTTCATTAAATTCTCCTCAGTCTACATCATTATGCTCATAGTTTTTCTTATACTTAATATAGTAGGGGCCTGCCAAACTCATTAGACATCAGCTGATAAATGGATTTGAACTCACAATCTGTTAAAAATCACATAGGCACATTAGAGCAATATTTTCATGGCTTAGAGAGTGTATACATTTAAATCTTCCCAGAGAGGATTTTGAGCATTTTTGATCCAGTGCAGCAGACTCAACACATAATTCAAGTCTGCTTGCTATAAAAATTTACAGGCTGGGATCTTAGCATCACTAGTCATAAATCAAAGCTGTGCACTTAAAAATGTGATAGTGGCAAAACTGTTGGATAGGGTGTAAACATCATCAAGCTCATTGCCATGCAGAACTTGCATTGAAATAATGGGGGAGATATTGTTAAATGTTGCATGTATTTTCACTCTTCTGGCAGAATTTGTACACATAATATATAACCCTGTGTAATTTCCAGCCTGGGCAAATCTCTGGATGAGGAAGAGCTTTCTGAAGCTGTCCTGGATTCTCACCCTGGTGTCATGACTTCAAATAAGCTTTTTCATGAAAAGTGGACAGAAGGGAACATGGGGCATATTTATGCCATAGTTTATGTTTCACTTACTCATTGCTCTTTATTGTAATTTCCCCCAACTGATGATAAAATGCTTATAAAGCATTGGGCTGATAATTTGCAGGCTCTCCCGCTGCTCTGTTTGTTATAAAGCTACTCATGTCTCCAGGAGAGTCTTTCTTCCTTTTGGATTTATGAGCCTAATGAACCACTGTTATTCTCCATCACAGGAGCCAGTGATGCTGTGACATTATAGCAGGAAGATTTGAAAACTTACGAGAAAGCACTTGAAACAAACTGCTGCTCTTAATAAGTGCCTCTTGTCTTCAGTGTGGTCTGAGGAAGATCTAAGTGAGCTAATGAATGATAAGAACAAACCAAGTCCTGCAATAACCCTGCAAGCTCTGCTGCAGGGTAAGCAGTGCTAGTGAGACAAATCTGCTGGGATGAACACTATTTATCAGTGGCAGGATGCTGATACACAGCTCCACTGACAGGCCCACTCTGCATACAAGAGCCTGAGTCCTCAGGTCTGCTTAGATTCTCCAGATGAGAGTTGTTGGATGTATAAGAGTAAATACAATTAAATGTAGGTGCAATTAAATTTAACTTTCAGCTTACTGAAAGGCCTTTCACTGGAGCTCACCTGGTTGACTAGGCAACCTTTTGCCCCCTTGGGTGCTCTAGATTCACTTAACATATCTTTTTCCAGGGCTGTTCTTGACAGTCACCAAATTCATACAATTTCAAACCAAAGAAGTGGAAGTGGGGGAAAAGGGATCGCTTTCTGAAGACCAGCTGCAGACTGCTGGTCACCTTGTTATTTCCATAAAGGAGCCCATTTCTGCCTACCACAGCAGGACACAGTGCAGAGAAAGGCAGTACCATGGCTAGGCCAGCCCCAGGCTATTTAGGAAGTTATAGGTCATAACCCACACCTCCATCTCCACTCGGAGACCATTAAGAAGCCCATGTAAAACCTGGAGCACGTGATTCATTGGCTCCCAGTGAGAAGCCCACAGTTAAAAGCATGTACTGTTCAGAGCCCCATTGTATAACCTGCTGGTATCAAAGAGACACTTCTTGGACCCAAAAATTTACTTCAGCCAAAAAAGCATGGAGAGCAGAACAGAAGCGAGTTGCCCAGTGCTCAGCAATCAGTCAAGAGCAGCGCTAGACATGGAACCCAGGAGTCTTGGCTGGGAGTGCAAGTGAGACACCAGAATGCTCTGGCAAGGCTTCTGCTGCCTTTGGCTGTTCTGCTGGATTCCCAGAGACAAGTGGGTTGAGCCAGTTGAGCCATGCTGCATGTCGGGGCAGAACTTGAGAGGATGCCAGTCCCTCCCCACCCTCAATGTCCCTGCCTGCAGAGCCAGCTGGCTCCCACAAGGCTCCAAGCAGTGTCAGGCAGCTCCTCCACAGCATGGCTGGTCAGGGCTCACCTGTAGGGCCACCCTGCACCATGGGTTTCTCTGACAGTCTTGACATACCCATTGTTGTCCAGGGTGGATGCTAGAGGTGGCTGGAACTTTTGTCTGCAGGTGAGCAATCTTGCCAAAACAAAGAGACCTTCCACCACACATGATGCTTGAGCATGCTGTCAACTCTCTGTATAATTCATAAAAGCTCTGCTGTCTCCAGTTACTCTATAATCATCACATCTTCCATCATGGCACACATATCTCAGCAATTGTACCCATTATAAAACCACCAAAACATAACTGGGAACAATGACGTGCTCCTTCTTTTTTTTTTTCTGTGATTCAGTGGGATTGGGAACTCAGTGCAATACAGATCATTTAGCCAGCAAAACACTAGTGGAAGATGTATGGTGACATGCCAATCAGTGCTTTGAAAAGCTCAACCTAGGTGACTCTGTCTGTTAAAAAGTATTCAAAAGCCCCAATTACAATCAGTTAAAAGCAATAAGCATGCAAATTATTTTAAAACAAACTTTAATTAATTTCAGCATATGTTTCACTTAGGCTGATTAGTCAAATCTGATTTTCTGAAAAGAAAAAATAAACATCTGCTAATGATGATTTACATATTACCACTCACATGGCCTGCAGTGTGTTCTGAGGTTCTGCACAGCACAGGGAAGAGACGTCGTGCTGTGCCCGAGACCCCCAGGCTGCAGCCACCGGGTACAGAGAGCAACAGAAATAATTCTTTGATAAAATGCCTAGACATGCCCTAAAAGAACATGAGGGTGTTGATATGAACAACCGTCCCAGTAAGGACTTTCCTTTTTGTTAAGGGCTCTTTGGGTGAAAAACAGGTAAAGCAGCTTGAAGTCTGGGCTCGGGAGACCCCAAACTGAAGCTCTGCACAGCCTGACCTTGGTACAGGCCAGAACTTTCGAGATGCCAAGAGAGAAGCTTTTCAGGCAGCTGCATTCAGAATAACAAGGGCTTAACCTATTGCTCAGACCCCATTTCCCTCTAAAACCAGTGGAAAAAAATTATCATTTGCAATAAACACAATCACTTATTCTCTGTTCATTATATAGGGAGACAGGATGTGATAATCCTGCATAGGCTAAACCCTCTTTATGCCCAAGAGTCCATTGTGGGAGGCCTGAATACAGCCCCCTCATACCTTTGGGCCTGAACCTCATGGTAATGTAAATATTTAAAAGTCCATGGCATTTTATATTCACAAGGCTGATAATGGAATAGCTTTAATATCCTTACAATGCCAAATCCAGATTAGCACAATAACAGTGGCTCCCAAGCAGTTTATTAGCACTCATACCTGATATGTAGAAATCCTGGAGGGGGAAAAAAAGGGAAAAAAAAAGTCCTGCCAACATATACTGCACACAGAGCTCCAAGACGTTGTATTCCAAGAGTTATTTCAGTTGTAGAAGCCACATGGCACCATTACTTGGCATGAAGAGAGGATAAAGAGAGAATGGTCTATGACAGGTGTTGCTTTAAATATTTTGAAGATATGCATCAGGAATAGTTCATAAAAGTGCTTCCAAAGTAGCTCTTACACCCACTGGGCTTGGCAGTCCTCACTCTTAAAAAACATGAACTTGGCGCAGTAGTCCCCTAAATCTTTTAAACTAGCTTAATCCTCCCAGTAATGAAACGTGCAGTCAGCTAGATGGGTGCATTTATCTGAAACTCACTTATTTACAAGCAACTAAAACATGAAATTAGCTGGTCCCGGAAGGCAGCTTTGTACTTCCCAACTCCTCTGCTATCATAAATCAACCTGTTCAAGAGGGTGCCACATTTGTTTTTCCCATTCTCACAT